ATATACTTGTGCTGTTCTTTATAAAACCAAGGAGGCAGCCAATCATACTATTGCACCCGAGGGCAATTTCTTTCTTTCCAACCCATCCCCCAAGCTAAGTGCCTCCCCCAGCCTACTTCTGAACGTTTTATTATGCAAACCTGAATGGATTTCAATTACAATCATTCTTTGCCTTCTCCATCCCAGCTCACAAAATAGGAACTAAATTACCAGCAATTCTAGGTTAGAAGGGCAGGCTTTTGCTTCTTCCCTCCTCTCCAGAGTCACCGGAATCTAGACTTTCTCCCACCTCAGCCTCTTTTAGGTGGTTTTGGGAGCACAGCTGTTTTTTCCCCTAACCCACTACTGAGCGTATCATGGCTCCTGACATTCCCAGCGAGAATGATTTTGCTCCTTCTCATGCAGCTACCAGGGAGCAAAGAGACTGCAGGCCGGTAAACCTATCCTCCCCTCTGCCTCTCTTCCCAGGGACGTGCTAGAAGGATGATGCGACTAAGACCAGGCTGGGCAGAACTGAAGACAACTTTGGTAGAGAAAAGAACTAATACTTCTGAAGGTGCCTGTTCTCTTCTGGGGACTATGCCAACCACACATACCTCATCTCACTCGACCGACAACTACTATGTCTGGTAGATTCCGGCCTCACTATTTTACAGACAGGACAACTAAGGTCAGAGAGTTTAGGAATTTGTTCAAGATCACTCAGTTGGGAAGTAATGGATCCATCAGTACCACACCAGGCTATACGGCTCCTGGAGGAGTCTGGGGGAAGTCATAAGTTGTGACAGGCTGAGCCTATGCCAGGGTGATCTTCAAGAGGCAGACCAGGATATATGCCATGCCCCTGAGGCTTGGCAGGAAAGGGGAAAGAGCAAAGCAAAATTACCAGGACATAATAATTAGGAGGAGACTTACTAAAAGAATCTTCTCATAGGATGGTCTCACATAAAAGGAAGATCTATGGGTGTTAAAGGTACAACTCTAAAGGGGGATGGGGGGTGCCTCTTAAAATCTCCAAGCCAATGTGACTAAGTAAAACTTATGGCTAGCAACTCACCTGCTTTTGCTACCAAACAAAGTGGGTGAAAGACCACTCACTCCAGGTATATGCTGACACCCATCAACCTCAACTCTGAAGACTGATTTCAGCCTTGCATGGTTGGGGGAGAGCCCCCAAACTCATGTCTGTTCTCAATTCAGTCAATAAATATTTACTGTGCAGCTACCACCTATGTGCTGGAACCCAGAGGTGACAAGCCATTGGTTCCTGCTCTCAGGGGGTGCATTCCAGTAGGAGAGGCAGATATTGAACAGATAACTGCACAAACAGCCATCTAGCTACCATAAGCTTAAAGGCTGTAAAGGCAAAGTTCCTGGGACCACTAGTCCTATAACAGGAGGTTCTAGGTTAATCTGGGGGATCACAACATGATTCCCTGAGAAAATGACAACAAAACCTAGCACCTGAAGCAGGAATAGGAGGGAGCCTTCTCTAGGTCAGAGAAAAGTGTTGCAGGTTAAGGAAAGAATGGTGAAACTGGGCAGGAATGAGTTGGGCAGGTTTATACACAGTCTTGGTGGTCTGAGGCTACTTCTTTACCACATGGCCCTGGTCCATTCAGTCAGAAAGTCTAGCACATGGAGAGCAACAGAGAATGTAAGGTTGACCCAGAGGATGTTGTTGTCAGATACATCAAGTTGGCTCAGACTCACAGCAACCCTATGCACAACAGAAAGAAACACTGCCTGGTCCTGCACCAAGGACAAGATAGGACAACAAAATCTTGCACAATGTGCCCTTGACTTGTTCAGCCTCATTCTCACCCTGCCATTCATGGCCAGAGGGCCAGCTTGACAGGAGCAACAACAGCTGGCAGGGATGGGAGGAGGACCAGGGCTGTGTTTTCCCCATGGATTTCATCTCTGCTCTATGGACGCTAGTGTACTCAGGATGCAGAGCTCATCCTCACCAGCCATTACAGTCCAAACATGCCTTCTAGGAACTGTCTTTACCAAGCCATTGCCCTCACTAATATAATGTTATCAAATTCCTAATGTGGGTACTCTAAAGCAAATGTACTGTTACCAGCACGCCACCAGGCACATTTTTCAGACGGAAAACAGCTGCTCGCTGAATCTGTCACTACTTCTTCTTCTCAGTACCATGCATACAGGGCAAGAGCCTGCTAAGGTCTGTTTTCCTTTACATTTTCATCTAGCATGTTCAAGATGCAAAATCAAGTCTCTCAATAAAACTCAGCAGGTCAGCCACAGCACAGTCCTTGTGGAGTTTCCTGGATTAAAGGACATAGCCTTGATAACTAGGGCCTGTGTCTTAGAACCTTAAGCTGCAGATATTGGAGCATACAGTTCACTCACTGAATTTCTTCATTTTATAGGCCAGGAAGGAAAATGCAGTCCAGAGAAGTTAAGAAAAGGGTTTAAAGTCACACACCTAGTTGGCTGTAGAACCTCTCAGCTTAGTTCCTTTCTCGGCCGATATTCTCACATAAAACAACAAGGACACCATCATTTATTTCACAGGTACCAAAACCAAACCCACTGCCATCAAGTCGATTCTGACTCATAGACACCCTCATTGGGTTTCCGAGGCAGTAAGTCTTTACACAAGTAGATTGCCCAGTTTTCCTTCTGCGGGGTGGCTAGTGGGCTTGAACCGCCAAAATTCTGGTTAGCAGGCAGATGCCTCAGCCACTACACCACCAGACCTCCTTATTTCACAGGTTGTTGCTGTTGTTGTTGTTATGTGCAGTC